GTACAAATAACATATTTGAAAGAAATTTTCTTGGTTAGAAACATCATATGATTTTGGTTAATAGCTACCTGCAAAATCCAGCTATTGATAAAGCATCAATGCTGGATTCTGTACCCCCAGCAACCATAACATCTGAATCCCCAAACTGAATCATTCTAGTAGCATCACCAATAGAATGTGCACCAGTTGCACAAGCTGTCACTGCAGCATGGTTTGGTCCCTACATTCAAAAACATAACTAGACATCACAACAGCAACTTTTCAAAAGCTATCACAAGTTCACAACCATGGTAGAATTGGTTTTGTCCAAGCATGACGAGGACAGATTCAGCAAACTAAGTTTTTCTTTTAAGAATATTATCCACCTTATAAAAGCATTAGTTAAGAAATTGAAACAAGGAAGCATAAGGTAACAGCTTCTTGCTGCCAACCATGTTCTGGGTTCTCCTTATTCTTTGATCGAGACTCCATTACCAGGTTTGTGCATTATACCAGGAAATTTCCATAATCAATCCACATTTCATGTAGCAAACTAAATCCAGACCAAGTCTAATGACTAGCATTTGAAATTCATAATTTATATTTTAGAACCACAAAAGTTCTATTCCAAGCTCAGAAGGGTTATTTAATAAAAGTGAACATAACAGGGGACTGAGATCACCGGGGAATTGAGTCTCCTTTCAACAAGTTGTTGCAAGCAAAGTACAGCATCACAAACTAGCTGCATGATTGGCTTAAAGTTGTCATAAGCTCCTAAAAGTATCGCATTTGAAGGTTACATACACACCTGGAATCCATATTTCATGCTCACATGACCAGATGCCATGTTGATTAATATCCTTGGAATGAAGAATGGACTGAGCCGACGAAGGCGCTGTATTCAAAGAGCAGACCTTTCACTTGTCACTTCAACTGTTTACATAGCCAAGTGGCATAATTTCATGCCAATAGCTAATGTAGGGGGAACTGCTGAAGATGATGAAGACACAAAAAACCATGATAGTAGCAATAATCATAATAAAATTGAGTATCATGATAAAACAACCTTTTCACATATCATTTGTGCTGCATCTAATATATCACTGATGCTCCCAATCCCTCCACCAATGGACACGCCCTGCTTTTAGCAAATTTATTAAATTCTGAAAGAGAAAGGATAAAAAAGACATAGAAGTAAACAAATGACTACCGTTCTTTCCTTCTCTTCCTGCTTAATGGGCAGCCATCTTGCATCTTTTAAAGCTTCATCAGCTGCACAAAGAGCATAGGCTATGAACCTTGCAATTGATCGTTGCTCCTAGAAACAGAATTGTTGTTAATGACACAAGGAACCAATAACATTTATAAACTCAATCATTTCAATATATGTGGTAAGCCTTAAACAAATTAAAGTCAACAGCTAATCATGGAATACAAGTCATCCAGCAAGGTATTGGACACTGCATATGTATCTAAACTAAAT